AAACAGATTTTGAGATACTTGCAAGGAACTCGTGGTTATGGTCTTGTCTTCAAGCGTGGGAACAATACTGGTTTGATTAGTTTTAGCAACACTAGTCACAACACGAACAAGGACGATGGAAGGAGTTCAGCTGGTAATGTTTTCTATCTTAATGAGTGCCTCATTACATAGTGTTCATTTAAGTTAGATACTGTTGTAATGTCTTCTTGTGAAGCTGAATTATTGGCCACCACCGAAGCAGCGAAGCAGGCTTTGTGGCTCCGGAAAAACATACCCAATCTTTTAACAACTTCAAATTTCATACCGAAAGCTACTAAACCGTATTCAGTGATACATCCTTTGTCAAGACTGTTGACATTGATGACGTGGTTGCCATGTCATCATCTATCATAAAAAAGAAATCTTATCTTGTTTTCCATTAATATTATCCAACAAATTATGAATTGTTTATGTAAAATCTTAAAATCTTACTATAACGCTCGTGTCGATTGACACCAAGGGCGACACCAATAGTTTTGGTGGTTGTTCTGTTTGTTTTGAAATTGTTTGATTTAGCTTGGCTTGGGTTTGGGAAACCTTAGGACTTCTTATAAAAGGGGAGTGTCAACGTTTAGAGTTTTGGTTAGCCTTTTCATCCTTTTTGTGAAAGAAAGAAGAGAAGAGCGTTCCTAAGAGGTTTCTAGATATTCTTGTGGGTTGATTAGGAGATTTGAGGCTAGAGGTTTGTATCGTACATGACCTCAAATGGTAAATTCCAGTTGGAAATACATGACCTCAAATGGTAAATTCTTGTGTATATAGCCCTGTAGTTGGAATGATGCCTCGCTAAGTATTTCTGACATACTTATACATATCTTTTTATGATGCAGGTAAGGAAAAGGTGTGACCGTGGAATCATTGCGAGGAAGGAAGAATGATCTAGAGGCTCGTTGGTTGTGTCGTGAATTTATGTTATTGCATTGTTAGGTTGTTAGGTTGGAAGTTAGAAACATGTTAGGATGCATTTCTATTTCTGGATGATGACTGTTTTTGGATAAAGGATTGCCTGCTGGTTTAATAATTTGTTTTCTTTGGATTGTCGGTTAAGTCTTTCGCTGGTTGTTGATATGTGGGTTGGATGAATTGGAAATTGTTGGTTAATTGGTTTAATTGGATTTTAATGGTTTAAATTGATTAGGACCGGTTTAGATGGTTTAAATTGATTTAGTCCGGTTTAGCCGGTTTAGCTGATTTGAGTTAATCGGGTTTACATGTTTTTTTTTAAAAGGCGGGCAGGGTCTTTTCAATTTGGTATTAGAGCCCTTACGGTTCAAGGGCTAGGTTAAATGGGAACTGTAATTTGATGTGTGAATTTTGTTAATGAGAAATCATGGCGGTTTGATTAGCTTCTTTATAAGCACTTCCTCAGCTACAAGCTCATCCTCGGGTATGAGATTCTCCTTGGGTACGAGCTGCTCCCTGGGTACGAGCTGCTCCCTGGCTACGAGCTGATCCTCTTCAACGGATTGTTCCTCGGTTACGAGCTTCAGGTTTTGTTCGGCGATAGTCATATCATGCCCTCCGTCTTGAAAAGGATTTGTCCTCAAAACCGTTTCATCTGCAAGAAAAGGAGATAGATTAGACACTTTGAAGCTCGATCTTATATTGTAATTACCTCGTAGATCAATGTGATAGGCTATATCATTGATCCGTTTTGTGATGGTGAAAGGTCCATCGATCCTTGGCTTGAACTTGCTACTCCGCTCGGCTGGGAATCTTTCCTTTGTGAAGTGAATCCGCACTTGTTCTCCCACCTCGAAGATCATTCTAAAATAAGCAATGAGTTTCTTGGCGTGCATCGAAGCCACTTAAATTCTCGTTCTCACAAAGAATTTAGACGAGAAAACTTCTATGTCCGGTGGCTCCTTCTTGAACATTTTGGCTAGTTTTCCATGCTCCTTTGTTGATGATTTAAACAATGAGAACACAAGATATTCTTGGTTCATTTCTTCCCTTGGTCCATAATCGATTTGATTAACGAAGTTCTTCATTATTCTTGATTTTGAATCCTTAACCTGCCTTACGTTTGCTTTCACAAGAACTAGAGAAAACACATCAAATGTGTGATAGGAATAGATAAACAATCTCTTAAGATAATCAAACTCTTTTTCACAAATAAGAATGTGATTAGAACACCAAAAATGCTTAACAACTTTTAGAACAAGCAAACCTTTGCTAGTGAACGAATCAACCTTTGTAAACTTAAGGAAACATTTATCAAACACATGATCATTCAAGTTCGATTTACAAGGTTTTGTTGGTGTAATTGAGCCACACAACACGTCTTTAAGCAAATATTTCAAATCATAGCAAGTTTGAAACAAAGCACATTCAGTTTTAATACTAAGCAACTCAAACGTATTGCTACACAAAAACACTCTCAAAGATGAGCTAAATTCACGAAACTCATCCAACATCAAACTTTTTGGTTTAAAGAACTTTTCAAGCGTGAATGTCTCGAAAATTTGAATTATTTTGTCAAAACAGATTTTGAAACAAAAAATTCTTTCACATTTTCCAAACCAAAACGTTTTTCATTTTGAGCAGAAATCAACACACACAAAATAGAACTAGTCCTAAACAATTCAATTTACTTATAGTGCTTTCTTGGGTAGTCACAAGGAAATAGTGAAAATACACGTTCTGGCTCCAACTTAGGTGGCAGTTCCAATTCACAATTTGACGGCATAATCTTTTGTGTTGTTCCTAGCGATGCTTCTTCTAGTCGAAGCGGACGAAAGAGATGAGAGAGAGAGAAGCGGCGAGAATTAGGGTTCTTCGCCGGAATCGCCGAGGTAGAGATATTTTTTCCTGTACGTGAACAATTACAAAAAAAAATCACAACTCAGCCGTAACTTACAATAAGTCATAATATAACTCAGCCGTAATGTACCATAACTCAGCCGCAATGTGTCATAACTCAACCGTAAACGACGTTTCGTATTTCCCTGTTTTTTTGTCGGAAAACGAAAAATCTCCACCCAAGTTGAGAAGAAATGCGACATTAATGACGACGAGAAAAAGAGACACACCGATTATAGGATAAGCGGCCAGAAGAGACGAGAAAAATAAGCGGCGAGAGTTAGGGTTCTTCGTCGGCTTCAAGAGAGAAAGAACAGTTTTTTTCTTATTCTTTTTAGTTTTCTGCCTTTTCCTTGGCCTATTCCGATCTGACATAGACACCTTTTTTGCAACAAATGAAACAAAACTCGAGAATGGGATATGAGATTTCGATATAGTGGCAAAATAACAAGACAGTAATGAGATTACGAGTTAGTGCCATAGGTTTACCGTTCACTCTCTTCGTCTTCATTATTGTCATCTTCAAAGCAACTCTCACCATGAACAGAACCACATGTGAGGACCAAGAACTCTTTTCTTTTCTTAGAACGTTGGATGTACGCAATTAGAGAAGAAATACGATAGGAATGACGACAAGAGAGAGACTCGTTGAGAATCGAAGCGGCCAAAAGAGATGAGAGAGAGAGAGCAGTGAGAATTAGAGTTCTTCGCCGGAATCGCCGAGGTAGAAATATTTTCGCCATAACTTAGCCGTAACTTACAATAAGTCATTATATAACTCAGCCGTAATGTACCATAACTCAGCCGCAATGTGTCATAACTCAGCCGTAATGTACCATAACTCAGCCGTAAACGACGTTTCGTATTTCCCTGTTATTTTTGTCAGAAAACGAAAAGTCTCCATCCAAATTGAGAAGAAATGCGACAATAATAACGACGAGAAAGAGAGAGACACACTGATAATAGGATAAGCGGCCGGAAGAAACGAGAAAGAAAAGCGGCGAGAGTTAGGGTTCTTCGTTGGCTTCGAGAGAGAAAAAACAGTTTTTTTTTGTTTGTAAATAGTGACGAAAATCTTCAGTTTCTTCCTCTTTTATCATTAAAGACAGAATAATGATGTGACAATTTCAGGTATGACGTGGCATGTCGAATCTGACGTGTCAATTTTTAAGTGAAAACAGACCAAAGGTGTTTATTGTAATTACACCCATCTCACTAAACATCTAAGGAATAAAAAAAAATTTGGCTGTTTAGGGAATAAACATACAATTGTGGTATATCTAAGTAATTCTCCCTAAAAAAAACCTCGAAATTTATTGATTTTCTCGGGGTAGGAGATTCTTGAAGAACGACTTAAGAACTTTGTAATCATGTAACCTTTAATCCGTATGATGAGAACTCTGTGAAACATCAACATAACAAGTTTGCATATTTTACAAATAGAGAAAAGCAAGAGTTTGCATTTCTGTTGTAATTCTCACATCCTAACCTTTGTTTCACTTTCAATTTCCCAGCCTTACACAGGCTTACACATACTCTTTCCCAGCCTTTCAGTATCCCGGTTCATATTCCCAGCCTTACACATTAGGTGATGCATATGGGTTGTCACATTAGTGAAGTATATGTGATAAAATTAGGTGACAACCCATATGCATCACAAGATCTTGATGAAGTTACCTTCCTTTACAATAACCTTTAATAAGCGTATTATAAGCGACTTCATCAAGCGAATATCCTTTCTCATTCATTTCTGTAAGTACAAAACTTGTCTCCTTCATCCTCCCTTCTCTAGATAACCCATTACTAACGACATTGTAAGAAATCAAATCCGGCTATAAACCCTTTAACGCCATTGATCTCAAAAGCTCAAACCTATCATCGATCTTACGCAACTTACAGTACCCATCAATCAAAGTGTTGTAAGTAACAACATTAGGCAAACAACCTTTCTTCTCCATTCGATCAAAAAACCGCAGAGCAACATCTAGATTCCCAGCAAGAGTGTGATAATAGTAAAATCTAGTAAAAACCGCAGAGCATATCCCTTAAACCTTGGAGATATTTGTAGTAAACTTATTAATTATATATTCAAACTTTTGTCGATATATTGTATGCAATTCGTGTTCGTAGATAACTCATGGCAGTTTACAAAAAATAAATAAAGGCAACATCCTTCAGTGACATGCATATACCTTAAACCTTGGAGATATTTGTAGTAATATATTCATCAAGAGTGTGATAATATATTCCAGGGTAGACACAAGATTACTTAAAAGTAAAACAGAACAAGATATAAAATTGCATGAGACTGGACAGAAAGAGATACTAAAGATCAAAGCTATGTAGTGTCTTCATCTTCCTCGCCTAGTTCAGGTCCTCCTTTAGAGGCTCAATCGGCCTTCTTCAAACGACTCATTCAAATCCTTCAATGTTTTAGCATCCACAAAAAGTCAATATAAATCAGAACTGCTTTCTATTGAACATTTTAGAGTCTAGCTGAGTGATTAAAACTTGCCTTTCCTTGCTTGTTAATGAACTTAGAAAGAGTAAAGATCCGCTTTACCAGCTTCTTCTTGGGTAGAGGCCCTGACACCAAGTCCAACTCCTGCTTTCAAAAGAAAGATAACATGGGTTCAAAGTGAATATATTTTTCTTTGAAATGCAAACATAAGTAAGAAGTGAGAAAGGGAAACTTGTGCTTAAATGACAGGAACACAAGTAACAATGATGACAAATCATAAATATAACTTTAGAGGAGGAAAGGATGATGCCTTACAAGCGATATGTGATCTCTGCCTTTAAGATGCGCACACAAATCTTCAACGCATGGGACAGCGAGATTGCATAGTGTGCAGAAAAACCTGCACGGAGATTCGTTCGTTACACAGAACTTCTCCTCAAGCTCTTGTTTTCTTGTGTCTCCTGAGTCTATTGCGTCTGGTGGAACAAAAAGAAACAAAAAATCAACTAGTACAGAAACAACAACTTTGCTGGGTTTATGACTGTGAGAGAGATAGAGAGGACAATCACCTTTCAGTAACTGCTCCCAAATACACATGGTGGAATTCCTGAAGTACTCTTCAGCGTTGATGCTCTGGGAAGCGGATTGACTGAATACGGGAAGAAATGTGTACCCCTGCTTTTCTATATTCGAAAGAGGAAACAATAAACGCTTAACTTCTTTAAAGTTTCCAGTTATGACCATTATAGTAGCCGGAGGTGGATTTTCCCTCTTCCACTTGATAAGTTCCTCAAAAATGTCTCTGAAACCTGTTTCAATATAAGAAAGCAAGTCAATAGCAAAAGAAAAAAAAAACAAATACAGTCAGTGCCCTAAAGATAGTAACAGAAAAGAATATTAACCTTCTGGAACGTGTTTAAGATTAATCCCAGAGGAAGAAATCGCATGAAGAGCATTGGGCATTTCTTTTAATATGAGTTTTAAGTTGCCAATGGCAGTGATGGTGAGAGGACCAGTGTGTTTCATCGCCAATTTTATAGATCGAGAGACCGTAGAGACATCATAACCCTCGGGAACCGGACAACTGTTAATGTCCCACCACACCATCGCCTTTGTTGAATTCATTGCCTGCATTCAATAATCAATAAAACCCCAAATTGATATTAAAAAATCGCCATTTGCTTAAAATCAAAGCTTGAAATTCTAACACATAATCAGTTGGAAATTTTTATTAGAACACAACAGAGACATAAACTGATATTTAGAAACTTGAGTCTCAAACATAAAACAGAGAGAAAAGACATAAAACATAATCTCATACTGAACTTAAATCAACGCTTGAAATCTCTTTGCAAGAGAGAAATCAAACTAAGCTTACATCAAACACATCTGCAGTTTATAATTTGGACATAATCAAATATAAAACGCCATCTGAAACTAAGAACCAATCAAAGCTTAACCTAGAGAAACATGAAATGAAGACAACAGAGACTTAGAACAAATGAAATGAAGACACAAGAGATAGACTCAGCAGATCCTAGTTGTCAGACCAGATTCGGCTTATGAACTACAACAATTCCATTAATTAGAACACACAGAGACAAAGAACACATGAAGTGAAGACACGAGAGTTAAGCACCTAACCCGATACGGCTTAGCAACTACAATGAAGATACAAGAGCTAAGCAACTAACAGATACGGCTTATCAAATAGAATCAACAGAACATAGACTCAACTAAGAATTCCAGTCTACAACACCAAATCAAACATGCATGTGAAGAGACACCCGGATCACCAGAAATTAACAACAGATGTAGAACACATAGCAAACACTTGAGTAAATCCTAAAACAGAGAGAAAAGACATAAAACATAATCTCATACTGAACTTAAATCAAAGCTTGAAATCTCTTTGCAAGAGAGAAATCAAACTAAGCTTACATCAAACACATCTGCAGTTTATAATTTGGATATAATCAAATATAAAACGCCATCTGAAACTAAGAACCAATCAAAGCTTAACCTAGAGAAACATGAAATGAAGACAACAGCTCATTTCAAGTTTAGGGTTTCTAATCGCAGACAGCCAACATTAAAGAATCAAATCCCATAACCCTAAACAAAGAAATCGAACAAACAAAAACCAGTAATCAAATCCTATAACCCTAAACAAAGAAATCGAGCTAATAGAGTAACAAAGTTAACAAGTAACCAAATCCTAGACAACCAACAAGAAAGAGGGAAAGATCTATAACCCTAGACAAAGAAGTCGAAAAACCTAAAACAAAATCGAGCAAACACAGAGAATTATCGCTAGAAGGAGAAGTAGAGATAAAGGTTGTACCTGTTGGACCAGATTTGGAGGGTCGTTGACGACGGCCATCTTGCTTTCAACCGGAGAAAGACACCGAATCTTGCACCGTCGGAAGAGACAGAACGGAGGTTAGTTGTAGAGATGGGAGAGAGGAGAGAGACGAGCGTGAGTGTCTAAGTATGGACTATTACGAGAGTGTGAGATATTAAAGGGTGTGGGCGTTAAGTGGGCCAAACTCTAAGAAGTGGAAAATGAAAATTTTGTTGGTTTTTTCTTTTGGGAAAATTGTAATTTTCCTAAATCTGTTTTGGATATTGAGTGGGAAATCAAATACTGCCCAAATTATTTAACTTCTGCATATAAGAAATTTTTTTATATAAAATCTAAACGGTTTAATTCTGAAAATTTTCTTTTTTTTGTTTTTGACAACATTTTGAGTTAAGTTTAAAGAGTCATATAAAGAGAGGCCAAGGCCCGTTTAGCTAGCCCATAGCCAGAAGCACTACTTCTTCAGCAGGGGTTGATTTTTTACTAAAAATCAATCGGTTTCGAGTGATCCATATCATCCAAATCAGCCAAGGGAATAATTGGTCATGCACCAACAGCTATGCCGACTTTGATGGTTTGGATATCGCGAAGTTAGGGTAAATCTTTGAAAGGGGCTAGATTCCAGACTCTTTCGCCAAACGGACAATGGAAGAAGAGATGCAGTTCGGTTTCTCGTTCACCACAATGAGGGCAGAGCGTAAAATTATCAATCATTCTAGCCATCAAATTATCTCCGACCTGGAGGGCTTTCTGGGCTGCTTTCCACAGTAGGTGCTTGGTCTTTGGGGAGCTTTTGATAGCCCAAATGTTATTTTTCCAGTCGAAAGGTGCTACGGGAGGGTTGGAGGAAGGACGATTTTCAAGGGATAAAGCCCGTGACTTCGCTGGTTCCTTTTCGAGCTCTAAAGCTTCATAGTATCCCGATTTAATCGAGTAAATACCGTCATTGGTGGGGAGCCAAGCCCAACGATCCGTAGCGCCTTTATAGCTCGGCTGAAGGTTTAAGATTTCATCCACATAAGAAGGGAGGAGAGATTGAAGAAGAGGCTTGTTCCAGTTGCGGGTTCCGGGGATCAAGAGATCAACTACTAGGAGATTTTGGGTAGATTTCTCAGGTGGTCCCATTGGGGCGCTGGATTGAGTCAAGGAGAGCCAGTTACTCCTCTATATTGGGGTTGCATTTCTGGATCCAGTAACTCTTCCCAGATTAGGTTTCAGGAGAGTTAGGCCTGCACATATTCTTTTCCAGCCATGAGAGGCTGAGCCACGGGCTTTGCAATCAAGGATATTGGAAGAGGAGCAGTATTTGTCAAGGAGGACTTTAGCTAGCAAACAGGTTGGGTTGGAGAATATACACCAGCTGAGCTTTGCTAGCACGGCTTTGTTGAAGGTTTGAATATCCTTGAACCCTAAGCCTCCGTTCTTAAAATATTTGGTAATCTTTTGCCATGAAATCCAGCATATTTTCTTCTTTCCGTTGTTTGAATCCCACTAGAAACGAGTCAGTATTGATTGTATGCGTTTTGTTAAAGAGGTAGGTAGCAAGAAGCAAGACATGGTATAAGTTGGCATAGTGGCCCGCACTGATTTGAGAAGGGTGAGCTTGCCAGCTGAGAAAAGGAACCTGGATGACCAGCTCAGTAATCTTTGCTTAATACGATCCACAATGTTGCTAAAGAGATCCTTCGTTTTCCTACCAAAGAGTTCAAGTAAGCCTAAACATTTTCCTTTTCCACCCTCTTTCCAAATATTGAGGTCGCTTTTAGCTCTGGCTCTTGTATCATTGGAGGTTTTTACCAAGAATTTAATCGATGACTTGTCCTGATTTATATTTTGGCCTGAAACTTCCTCATACTTTTGCAAGATTCTTTTCAAGGTTTAACAGCTTTGATGATCCGATTTTGCAGAAAACATGGTGTTGTCCGCAAATAGGAGATTGTTAATCCTAGGACTGCATTTGGATACTCTTAGACCAGTTAGGGTGCCTTGCTCTTGAGCTCTCGTACAAAGTTCCGAGAGGACTTCACTACAAATGAGGAAGATAAAGGGTGAGAGGGGATCACCTTGTCTGATACCTCGATAAGGAACGGCCTTTCCTTTCGCTTAGCCATTGAGGAGGTAAGAATAGGTAATAGTTGTAATACATTCCATAATCCATGTGATCCAGAGATGGTGAAAACATAACTGAGATAGAGCTGCTTTGATGAAATCCCATTTTAACCTGTCATAAGCTTGCTCATGTCTGTTTGACAGCCATAAAATAACAATCCTAAAAAATTGTTTATTGATAGATGTCTGTTTCCGGGCATCGAAGGTTTTCAGGTAGTAGAGAGCCTCAGAGCATCCTCAATGGTCAATCCTTAAAAATGAATCTTATGATTTGTTTAGTAGTTTAATTGAAAAATTGATGTTAAGAAGTGTAATTAAATTTTTATGTTTTTATGCAGGATTATTGGTTGGTTCTTAAGCAGTGGATCTTAGGATTAAATTATTAAAAAAATTTTTTAACAATTTTAATTTTTGAAAACTTAATAATTATTGCAAAATAAAAATTTTAAAACATAGATGAGATACAATTTATTTCATAAATAACATAAACACAATTAAGTTTGAAAAATATTATCAAATTCTTCGTCTAAAGCTTGTCCTAATTCATCACGGGAAGATGATGCCATTGAAAGTAGTAGAAAGTATATTATTTTTTGGATTGGTACAAGTAATTGTTTGGATTTGTATGAAAGTTTGGTTTGGATTTTAGGATTTGTGGTTTGGATTTTTAGGATTGGTACAAGATATTAAGAAAGTTTTGATTAGCAAAGTAAAAAGAAAGAGATTAAATGTATAACTTGGTTTCGATTATTTGTCTGAGATTTTAACAAAGAAAAGAGAATGATAAGAATGACATGAAAATAATAATAGAGAATGTCTAAAACAACACAAACACGACCATATATATAGAAAAAATCTCCAATAAGTGTAGTGATGTATTGTGCTGTCCGTGATATATTGTTGTGTCCTTGATGTCTTCTTGTGTCTTGTTTCCTTTATGTCTTCAAGCTCTTTGCAGCTCTCACTTCTCTGATCACATCTCAACCCTACCCTATAAAACAGAGAACAACAATATCAAATTCAAAAGAACAAAACAAATAAGATCCAACTCAAGTCTCAGCTATTCTTAACTCATGAATACTCAAATGTCAAAAATAGCTCATGTGATCACATACCAGTTTAAATCTCTGGCCTCCTCCTCTGACTTCTCTATAGCAAAAACAATTGATACACAAACAAGAACCCACTCCTCGCATAAAACAGAGATAAATAAGTCAAATTCATAAGACAAAAACAAATCAGTCTAGACAAAAACAAATCACTTAACACTTAAAACCTAAGCAAACTCCTTACCATCAAGATCAGAATGGTAAGTCTCATGCACCTTGTCTAGAATTTTTCTTCCAACACCTTTTGCTTCAACATGACGACCATCATCATAGAATATAGCCACCTGTACAAACCCACAAATAACCCCATTAGTCTGAAGTCCTTCACAACCAAATAACAGAATAAGCAAACAATGCAAAAACACTTACACTGTGGTGGAAGAAATGTCCCTGAAGATTAGCCACATCAACTTTAAATGATTAGTCAACAATGGAATTTTTTGATCCCTTGTTCCAAACCCTTTACGAGCCATAGGTACTCTCAAGTTCTTCTTCTCAGCAAGTTCAGTTTTAACACGAACATGTTCCCCATTTGGAGGTATAATTGGTGGAGGAGTTGGTAATGCATCAGTAACCCCACTCCCATTCAAGATCAGCTCCATTAACATTCGTTGAATCCATCTCCTAAACAAAGAAACCACACAAAAAGAAAGTTTAGGCTTCACACAATTATGAGTAAAACACACAATCTTGTTTGAAAACTATGTACATATCCAAACCAAAATAGCTACATCTTAGACAAGATCCAACATATTAATTATTGAAACAATGAACCAACCAAAGAATAACAGACCCTAGCAACAATCCGATTTCACCAAGCTTTGTTTCTCAAACAATCATACCTTACACACCCTAATCCATGTTTCTAATTAGCGTAATTAAAGCCTTATGAACAAATTATCCGTGTTCCCCAAATACCAAAACCCTAATTTCATAATCGGAAGAACCCTAATTTGTAAATACTTAAAATCAGTTCTATTCAAAAATCAGAAGGAAATACGAACCTTGTACTGCCGATTGGTTCTCCTAAGATTCCAATTTTGAACACAAGACCAATTTCGAAGGATTTGGTAAGAGCATCCCGATTTTGAATCGGTTTGTTCGCTGATGAGGTGAATCGAAGCCGCCAGGGAGAAATGGAATCGGTTGACAACGCCACCAAACGGAGCCCAGAGACGATTGATTTCGGCAACAACATCTGATTCGAGAAGAATCGAAGCTTCGTTTTCTTCTTTCGCGAACAGAGAGAGAGAGAGAGAGAGAGAGAGAGAGAGAAATGAAGAAAATGATTTTTTTCCTTTATATATTTATCATCACACCCAATCAAACTTTGCCACGTATACGCCTCTTCCACCTTTTTTTTATCTTATATAACATACGAATCTTAGGTGATTATGTGTATTTTGATTTACATTTAAATGCTAATACACTAAGGATTCACCATTGAGGATGGTCTCATGGGTAATAAGTACGTTGTCTGAGATAGCTTTTTGGGGGACGAAAGCCGATTGATTCTCCGAGATATAAAACTTTAGAAAAGGTTGAAGTCTTTTGGCCAAAAGCTTTGCTATTATCTTGTAATACATAGAGCATAGAGCTATAGGACGGTAGTCAGCTACTGTTTAAGGGAATCGATGGTGATTTTTCCACAAGAGAGATCAGTCATTGCCTCTTCCAGTTGGTTCTTCAAATCCAGGATGCATTCTTGGCAGTTTTTTTGCTGTTATCTAGTCAGTTAATGATAGCATTGCGACAGAAGGTAAGTCTAACCTCTAATTTTGCAACTTCTAGGATCAGGGCCTTAACCTCCTCATTATCTCTCAGCCTTCTATCATATCGTAATAATCCTTTCCTCTTCTTTTTTAGGGGTTCAAAAGAGGTGACAAGAGGACGGTGATCAGAGCCTTCAAACCAGAGATATTCACTTCTTCCCAAGGGCTAAGCCAATATCCAATCACTATTTGACATTACTTTGTCCAATCTACACCTTATTGTATGGGTATATCTTTGACCTCTCCATGACAGGAAGTTCCTAGTGTATTTTAGATCGAAGAGATCACATGACGACATAGAGGACCTTAGGTCTGAGAAGGAGCTTTTCGCTCTAGGGGGGCCTCCAATTTTCTCATCTTTGTGGATAATGTCATTAAAGTAACCCATTAGGAGCCAGGGAGAGGACCTAGAAGCCGAGAAGCTTTTGATTTGGTCCCATATTGCAGCTATTTTTGCTCTTTTCGGTTTCCCATAGACAAAGATAGAGAGGAAGACTTTTCATTTAAACTTATTTCTGATATCGATGTATTGGGTGCATGAGCTTAATACCTCAACTTCCAAATATTGTTTCCAGTACAAATTAAGGCCACCAGATCCTAGATTTGTTGGGGAGACAAAAAAAGGGGGATGAGAATTCAGGCCAGATCATGTTTTTGATTAGACACTCGTTAGAGTTTTTCGATTCCATGAGGAATATTACGTCAGGGCATACTTTCTTGCGTATCTCCTTTAGTCTCTGGACTGTTGTGGGCTTCCCCAGTCCACAACAGTTCTAGCTCACCATCCTTAAGGAATGGAGGTTTCCGGATTCTGAAAATCCGCTCCCTCTTTCTTAATTGCAAGGATGATGTTAGGTTTTTGGGGGGGGGGGGGGGCGTAGGAGGTGGCACATTGTTTGGGTGGCCAACAACAAGAGTAGAAACTCTTGGGTCTTGAGTTTGAGGAGGAGCAGAAGAGCATGAAGGCTTAGATTTGTTTTGAGTTCCAGTATTACTTCTTGAAGATCCTTTACTGAGATTGGTCTTTTTTGGTGAGCCTTTTGTAAATTTATTTTCTAAGACTTCTAAGTTGGGAGAGGGTTTAGGGGCGGTCTTGTGATTGAGAGGGCTACCTTTGCCTCTCTTTGAAGGAGCAGCTGAGATTGCGGTAGATGTAGCTATTTCATCTCTTACAATGCCGGTAGAGAGGTCCAGAAACTCATTAATAATCGGGTTAGGTGGGGGAGGAGGCACACTCGTAGCTGTAGCATCAGCTAGAATACTGTTTGTAGTATCATCCATAAGATTCCTTATTTCACCTTGTAAGACTATGTTTCCTAGCAACACTCTCTGTGGGATCTGCACAGGCAGCATACTAGATAGTAACTTCTCGCAAATCCTCCATAATTTGTTCTCTAGATGGAGCTGTAGATAAGGGAAGATGGGATTCAGGTGGAGGATTTAATTGCCTTATGCAGTTGTATTCCAGAGGAAGGGGAAGTGGTGTGGGAGGGTCATACTCTTGGGGGTTTTTTCCAAGGGAGGGTGTCTAGTTCTTGATGAGTCCGAGGCTTCATCAGATGGAATCAAAGAGGGGCTAGTCCGATTTCTCCAGCTATTGTTGTTGGATTGGGAATGGTGGTCTACTCCCCTACTAGGTTGAGGATACCTTGAGAAATTCCGGTTTGGGGACCTTATGTGCCATTCTTTTTGCCTAGAGAAAAGATCCTTTCCAGTAGAGGTCTGAGTCCTTCAAGTGTCTTATAAGTTTGCAAGTTAAGATCACTTTTTGCAAGTTAAGATCACTTTGGCACATTTTTTGGGTGGCCAACAACAAGAGTAGAAACTCTTGGGTCTTGAGTTTGAGGAGGAGCAGAACAGCATGAAGGCTTAGATATGTTTTGAGTTCCAGTATTACTTCTTGAAGATCCATTACTGAGATTAGTCTTTTTTGGTGAGCCTTTTGTAAATTTCTTTTCTGAGACTTCTAAGTTAGGAGAGGGTTTAGGAGCGGTCTTGTGATTGAGAGGGCTACCTTTGCCTCTCTTTGAAGGAGCAGCTGAGATTGCGGTAGATGTAGCTGTTTCATCTCTTACAATGCCGGTAGAGAGGTCCAGAAACTCATTAATAATCGGGTTAGGTGGGGGAGGAGGCACACTCGCAGCTGTAACATCAGCTAGAATACTGTTTGTTGTATCATCCATAAGATTCCTTATTTCACCTTGTAAGACTATGATTCCTAGCAACACTCTCTGTGGGATCTGCACAGGCAGCATACTAGATAGTACCTTCTCGCAAATCCTCCATAATTTGTTCTCTAGATGGAGCTGCAGATAAGGGAAGATGGGATTCAGGTGGAGGATTTAATTGCCTTATGCAGTTGTATTCCAGAGGAAGGGGAAGTGGTGTGGGAGGGTCATACTCTTGGGGGTTTTTTCCAAGGGAGGGTGTCTAGTTCTTGATGAGTCCGAGGCTTCATCAGATGGAATCAAAGAGGGGCTAATCCGATTTCTCCAGCTATTGTTGTTGGATTGGGAATGGTGGTCTACTCTCCTACTAGGTTGAGGATACCTTGAGAAATTCCGGTAATTCCTGGGAGCTTGGAAAATTTCCTCAGGGGTGTAGTAATTCCTTTTCATCCTAGAGGATTCAGCATGGTGGAAATGGGATTCCGGAAATGGAACATAAGCTTGGTCAGCAGGGTTCTGGAGGCTAGGGCAAAACCTCTTTTCATGGGATAGGCGAAGGCAGTGAAAGCAGTGCTTTTTCAGGTTTTGGTAGTCTAGATATACTAGGGTTTCCTTACTGTTTGCAAACTCCACTACTGTTTCTTTAACAATACGTTGCAGGCTATCAATAAGAACTCTAAATTTTGCTGATGAGGGTGAGATGTCCAGCTCCACAAACTCTCCTAGTTCTTCTCCAATGGTTTGAAGCATTTCAGGTTTCTATAAATGTTTTGGGAGACCATGGAGTTCAATCCAGAAAGGCAGTTGGGATGTGATTGAATCCGAATGTTCAACTATCTATCTTAACATTTTTGAATTACATTTTGTACTAAAATCTATTTTGGGTTATACCATTTTATTTTGTAATATTTGCATAATCATACCCTTGCCATTTGAATAAATAACAAAACTTAAAAGTAAATTTTGTATTTAATTACAAGCAAATCGCAAAATTGGAAACAAATATTTACTACATCAAAATTTTTTCCTAAAATCTCTCTCTAATAAATCAAATTTTCTATAATCTTATTTGTTTTTAATTTATATTATTACATAAAATATATTATAATAAAAAAAATTCCTCACATTTTGCAATTTAAAATTTTGAAAACGCAATCGATAAAGGAAAGTATATATATACAACGTCTACATAAGGTAGAATTTGTTTGATAATTGCTTGAAACCATTATAAATAGGACTAATATGTTCACAACTACAAATGAGTATGGACTTTGATTTATCAGGTATCCAAATTAAAAAATTTGTTTAGTTTAATCTGATTCTTTATTTAAGAAAAATAAAACTTTTCAAATATTATAAATTTTAGTTTTTCAAAAATTTTAAAATATTATAAATATTAAAACTTTTAAAATTTTTAAAGATCACCACTCGTGTTATTTTGTAGAAGTTGAAAGCATTGAAAGCATTGAAAGCTTGAATAATTAACTTTCATTTATCTATATCACAGAAAGAGATGCATAAGTATTTTTATAAATACTTAGTGAGGAATTCATCCCCACCACTGGCGATACACATAAGCAGCATACTTTACATTCAAGCAATAACCAAAAATCATCAAACGACAACAAAAATAACCACATAATCCGACATGACGAGTAGTGTCGATTGACACTCGCCACTGGTGTCGACCGACATTCGTGACCAGTGGTGTGTCGATCGACATCGATGCCCTAACATCATCCAGCCGCTTCTCATCAACGGATCTGCTCCTCCAAGCACTCCAAAGCCGAATAAACTCTCCACAAGACTCGTCCACAGGCACCACAACACAAGAAACACGCATACACACAAATAAAATCAATCAACAACCATAGAAATCACTAATGCATGAATCAAACAGTTTAGATAAGCCTTGGTCCTGCACTCACCTTTTAAAAGAATGAACAACAACGAAAACAAGGGAGAACATGGAAGGATCTGACTTTTCTAACACCAACAACCACGGATCTAGCCTCCTCTAGTCTAATCAAGCAAGAACAAACCTCCAAATCTCACTAGAACTCTCCAAAACTCACTAGAATCACCCTCACACTTCACTGTTCTTTTCTTAACTTCTAAAAGCGGTTGAATGAGAAAAAGTCGACCTTTTTCTCTTTTAAGTCGCAACTTAGGGTTAAACCAACCCAACCCCAATTAATTTCGCAATTAAAATCAAACCGGTCTAACCAAAAAATGCTGGTGTCGAGCGACACCCTTCTTTGGTGTCGAGCGACACCACCCATTTTCGAGCATGTGTGTTACACTTTTGTTTCTTGAAACACCTCCACGTGATGATCCATTCTCTCGGGAAAATTGCCATAGTCCAAGTACTTTCTATAGATCATATACATAAAATAACAAAACCAAACACAAGACTGTAAGCAAAATATATTAGATGGCTTGATGAAATAGTAAAACCAAACAGAAGACCATAAGAAAAACCAAACTTGCCGTGATTTTTTCTTTTTTTTTTAAACCTTAAGCTCTCTCAATCGTTGGAATTTTTTTCTATGCTAGATAGCTTCTCTCTATTAGAATGTTCTCTAGAAAAAATAATAAGGTGTCGAAGACTATATGTAATTGTATTGCATAAGATTTTAAATATAATTACATACCAAGATTAGCTTGAATTTTATATTGGATATGAACGAATTGTTTAAATATTAGTTGTGGTTATAAAAAAACCTAGTAAAGTTTGACGTTATCACATGAGGGTTTAAAAATAATAGTTGCATCGCTTTTATACATTATCATAAACTTTTGCATGATTTTGTTTTTAAAAATAGATTTTTGGGTCGAACTGGTGTACAATTTTGTTGTAACGAATAGAAAGGAATACGTTATTCCTCCTTATTCCTCATTTTGTTTACCATTTACCAGTAACATATTTTCCAAACTTTGACACATGGACCCCACACTATTCTTATACTTTTTTGTTTGAGTAATCATAGAAGAAAATTGTTCCTATCCAAATTTGATATGGAAGAAATAGGAATATTGTATGTTTAATATTCAGCCTTTTTATTTTAGTTTATTTTTTTTTCAAAATTATCTTATTATAGAGAGGTTCTCAAAAATAGCATGGTTTTTGTTTTTGTGTCACAATTACCACTAGACCCAACAAACTTCATTCTTAACATTTTTGATTACTCTACGTCTCGTCGCTCTTAGACTGGAAATCGCATATACAAGCACAAGGTTCGAAGAATCTGCTGATGTGCCAAACTCTTATTTGACACAGACTAGCCAAACTCTCGTCGGAGATGAAATCTTGACTAACTAGGAGAAACTGAGAGTTATTTATTTTTACCTTTAATTTATTTAATTATTATTTTTTCCTAATATATATATATATA